CAATATTGAACTGACGAAGTTCTAAAAAACAAGGAACAAATAATATTTTTTGATCGCTATTTTATAGTCGACGAGTTTCTGTAATCATAACGGATAAAATCAGCAATATAAATAATTGGGATAATTTTATTGATAATAAGTTACAACATTTAACACGTGAGATATCGTCACAGAATCAATTCTTCATGACAACTTCGCCACTTGCGGTTAATCTTTGTTTATTTTTTTATATTTTTTTGCTGTAATTGCGACTTCTAACATTTCTACTGCCAAAAAACAGTGCGAAATAAAATGAGTTTTATTTTAATTATCAACAGGCCAATAAAAAATTCGTTTCTCCTCTGCCAAAGACGCCAATTAATATTAATATTCAGCACTATTCATTTTCAATATTCAGCGGATATTAATTTTTTATTAAGAATTCATGTTGGCTTTGCCAGAAAATCGTCGAATAATTTATTACAATGTGACATATAATAACGAGCCCAAACGCCGTTTCTCGCTCGTACTCGTGAATCTGCTTTATTGTTAGGCACTGAGACACGAGCACCATCCTGTGTAAAAGCTAGAGTAGCACTGAACCTCTTCGAGTCGAGGCGGTAAAAAACTGAATGCCTCCAGGGCCCTGACGACTCATAGGACGTGTTTTTGCACGTGCATATCGTGTCGGTTGCTGCCCCTGCATTGGCACATTCTCTTATCGGAGCAGAGACCATCACTTTCATCGAAGTTTTAATCAAATCCTCTCATTTTACATGCATAACTTGACCTAATCCATATGAATCTATGCGGTTACGCTGGATAGTCGAAAGAATAAACTGCTATCGAAGTAGATAGAGTGATTTCTTTTAAATAGAATACAATGCAGTTTCTGGCTGGCCAGGTAGAGCGTTGTCGTCTCCTTAGCATAGCCAGTTTCTACGTGGTTTTTATACCTACTTTCATTCTGCCGAATGATTTTCTTTACCCGAACACTCCACGTTTTTCGCGGCCAGAACCCACGTGCGCAAAATTTTTATTTAAGAACTTGATGCCAATGAAGAAAATTAATAGAACTTGCAGCCATAATTAACATTAAAAACTAATAACGAGAAAAATGTCCTAATACACATTGGTGCTAAACTGATGAACAATGAACAACAGCAATAATAAATCTGATCGTGCACCGATGACCTAAAAAGTTAAACGCTAAATGAACAAGTTCATCTTGCAACAACGTATCGTACACTATTCGACAATTATAATATTTTACATTGATGATCAACCGAGATATCGATTTTTCTCATAAGTATGTTGTTTGCTTATAGAAGATAGTTGAAACACCTTACCGAACCCATTTGTAAATTAACTTGAGTAAATATTGCATGAAATGTATGTAATTATTTTATTTTATATTTAAATGCTCTGTTATAACTTAGTTTAATAATTTAACGTCACAAAAGGAATAAGTTTTGTTCGAAAAGTACGACCAAATGTTGTACAGATCATTAATATAATGAAGAGTAGCTTGGAAAAAACCTCAAGCACAGCATTTCTCTTGACTAATATCGTCTAGCTAAATAATAAGACATATAATGCTCACGCACCCTCAGGTTTAATGCTATATAAATTATGGGAGAATGTGAGATATTGTTAACTCGATGGCTTCACTTTCAAATTTTTAACTATAAATTTCAGAAATTATACGGTAAGTGGGAAGTTAAGCGGTGTAAAATTATTGACCATCACTTTTTTTTAGTTTTTGAAGTTCTTAAAGCTGAGTAGAGAATTACGCAACTTGTTAAGCTATAGCAAAATTTGCAACACTTCGTTTCATAAGGTCATATACTGTACATACAGCAAAGGTCTTCGGACAACATAGTTTCCGAAAATAAAATTTTAGGAATGAATCCTATAATTTGCTTCTAACATTTTTATACAAACTAATTCCAAGGGAACTTAAATTAGACCATATTAATTACGAACGAACAATATATAGGTTGGAGCATGAACGAAAAATATTACCCCCCCCCAGTCACATCTGAACTTAAGCTCAAAAATAGCATGCTATGTAAACTTCGGCACTAAGAAAACAGGCAACTGAAGGTCCGAGTGAAAATGTCACGTAAGAGTCTGTATGAAAATGATATAACATTTTGTTTTATTTTATTTATACCAATAATTTCATTATACCCATTCTTTAGGTGCACCCCTCTGATGATTTCAAATTTGGACATATAGGAGCAGGAAATTTTTTCATCGGTGAAATTTTGACTTACGCAGCAAAAAAATTTGTGGAAACTGAGATCAGTAAAATTTTCTGGAGTTCTGCGGTTGTTCTAGGAAACCTTGTCCACCGATCTTCTTTATGTAAAATATAGCTTCTAAGTCCAGAGATATCTGCCAGGCAACATCGACGTTCGGTTATGCCAGGACTTTTTTGCTACATATTTTATAATTTTATTCTGCTTCATTTTATGGAGCGGCTGGCATTATACGCTGCAGCGCCACTTGGAGCCATATTTACAGAAAAAACGTGTATGGATCCCATACGTAGATAGCAGCTTTGCTTGGTATTATTTTTGTTGAAAGATGGTAATTGGTAGCGTGATACAACGCAAGTATAGTGCCGGTATATAGGAGAGCTTTGCGTGATGCGATCGAAATACACGTGTTGAATAACATGAACTGATGATATTGCGGCCACTTGCCAGTCAAGGATATACGAAGGGAACAATAAAAAATCTCTAACATAGAGTCAGAGAGGCCATATGCCTCTTCATGTCCGTTCGGTCTCATGCAACTTCCTACTGCTTGCGCTACTTTTACAAGTGGTGCATGTAGCGTAAAATAATATAAAGTTTGACGAGGACAAGTGGTTCACTTGAAGCTTGCGGAACTTCTCACAGGTGTTCAACCATTCTCTGAAAATATTACTTTAATGTTTACTTTAGAAACCTGTCGTACACATTCAATTACGTATAAGCCGGTTAGGTTATCTGGAACTTGATTTGCTCGTAGCATTCATGATTTATAATCGTATGCGAGGAAATGGCATGAGTGTCGGAATGTAAAGTGCAGTTCTCTGTTGGTTTCGTATCATCAAATGGTATTTTTTGATCAACTAAACTTCACGAAATACATCAACACCTAAGTGGTTAGCTTAATGATCAGCTAGAGATTGGATTAAATTTCACTACCCAAGAAGCTGGCGGTAAACTAAGCAGTAAATTCCACAGAGTTGTCGATGCATTTGCTTTATTTTCGGTTCACTTCGTTCACTTGAGGGGTCATACAAGGACAGTTTTTCTTCAGACCGCAACTTTTTTACTTAACGTCAGAGCAACATTATTTTTTACACTACCTGAGGCCAACTTAGGATTTTTATTGTAAACTGGACTGCCGGAGATTTTTCATAGCCTATTATTCATTTTTTGTACCATTATATTTTAACCAGACAATAATAATTTGTAGATCCTGGGGACAGAGCATGCAATATTCTCATGCCGCTTCGGTTTAATAAAAAATCTTGAGGTCGCAAATTAAACGTCATCATCACTATGAAATAAATAATTTACATGGATTACCGAAATGAATGAGAAAAATATAACTCAGTACTCACTGCAGTGAGTGACAGAGAGCGCATTTTCTCGTCGACGAAAACATAAGTCACGGACAGACGGACGGACGGACTGACAGGCGGACATGACGAGCACACCGCAATAGGCATTATTTCCATAAATGAGAAATTGCGCTAAGAACAAAATTGTTATGCCAGCAGCATAAATTAACCGCATAATAACATTCCAATGATATCGTTCGACTTGATGCATTTAAACTATTTATCATTGCCATTAATCCTTGGCTTCTAACAACTGAATTCTATTGCAGAGATTCTTCTTTTTCATTCCATTAGTTATCAGACATTTTTTGTCGATAACTTTTGCTCTGTAATTAGCGCTAAGAATTTCAATGCTCATTCTTCGAAGTTTTGTTGCAAATTCAAAAATTATATAAGGCTTTTAGGACATTATTTAATTGTTTTATGCTTGAAATTCAAGATTTTTCCCTTCTAAATTATCCGTTACTCATATTCAATTTCTGTTATATGTTCACTCTTTCTTTACCGGCAGGCGCTGTCGTCAACACGCAGGATCTTATAGCCTAGAAAGCTCCCAAGGGCAATGGCCGTCTTGTACTACACAAGAATTACTTTTAAGCTAACATTAATTTTTTCTCCTGCGTGGCGAGCGAGTTCTGGATAGTGAATGGTGTCCGATAATGGCGTAGTGTAAAAACTTGCCGCAGATGCTCTCAGAGTTCGCGAGATCAGAAATTTGTTACCAGAGACCGATCTTGCAACAGTGAGCGAGTTGTTTTGAACATCAGCATCTAATGTTGTTCGTTTAGCCCATTTGACCAAAATTCGCCTTGGATTTTTAGGTACATCATACTGTATATGATAATCCCAATAGTATTCTCTATTCTTAACGACCAATTTTCAACCATTTTTGTAATGAGGTAAAGAAGTTCAACACCGTCGTGTTCTGTAATTCACTAATCCTCATAAATTTAACTGAACTGCACTCAACACTCAACATAATAATCAATCAATAGCTGTCAAAGCTATCGTTGACAATTTGCGAAACGTTGTCACTTATAAATAATATGCATTTACAATTACTTTTTAAAGACAACACTTCTAAAGAGGCCAGTTTTTTTGCAATGAATTTCAATGTTTTTGTTAATTTGATACAACAACTTACTTTTTCATTTTTTTAATATTCGAAAAATTTAAATTTTCAAAATTTTTATTTTGTCAATTGATTTAAGCATTGTCTCCGACTTTACACAAGTGTGCAAAATTACAGATTGATTGGACAGGTAGACGTGTGTTAAATATCGATAATAAGATTTGTAGCAGACGAGCCAACAAGAAGTGAAGTTAAAGAGAAATGTTATAAAATGGTTACTCATTTCAAAGCGTATGTCGAACTTGCCGCATGTTAATAAAATATCAGCAGATTAAATGCTTTATTATCGAACATTCTTAAACTAAAGTCGTTTCTGCTTAACAATTAATTGAATTTTGTTCGTGTATTGGAAGAGCGCAACGAAAGTTTTCTTTACAACGAAATACACAATGAACGCTCCAAGCAAAATGTTTTATTATCGAAAAATACTTAAACTAAAGTCGCTTCTGCTTAACAATTAATTGATTTTTGCTCGTGTATTGGAAGAGCGCAGCGAAAGTTTTCTTTACAACGAAATACACGATGAACGCTCCAAGCAAAATGAGAGCCAACACGTCCAGGGCAAACAACTGAACATAAGACATGTTCTTGGCGGGGGACTGGAGGTGCGGCGCCCCCTTGTGTCTCGCCGTGTACTCGGTCCAGTAGACCGCCGTGTCCAGCGGCGAGACCAACTGGTCTCTGAACACACGAGACATCGCCTCCATCTTGCGCCGGTAACTGCGGTGAAATATTAATATTTGCTTGATAGTAATTTTAAATTTGATGCCAACGATTTTATGCAGTTATGAATTATTTTTATATAATTTTATAATTGTGGGCATTAATGATGTTAGTCTTAAGTTAGCGGTCAGGTCTACGCAAACAGAAATATTTTATTCAGTTCTATGTTTCATGTTGCAAAAATTTCATCAAGGGATAAGTGAGGACATTAAATCTGTAACCTTGGATTATGGATGACTTCCAAAATGGAGCTTTTAAGTTTGTGTTCAGTCAATGTATCCCACGAGAGCAGAATTGCAACGCCGTGGTTCTCCAGCAGACGCGCTGTTCTGACTTGGTCCAGCAGTCCGGGCAGACCTACCATCGGCACTCCGTTGTGAATAGCTTCTACGGTGCCTCCAAGCCCGCAGTGACTTACGTAGGCCTTCACGCGAGGGTGAGCTAAGCCGGGGATGGAATAGTGAGAACATATCTAGAGACTAGAATGCGACACACTGTACAATTAGTGCTACATTCTTTGCTCGTAAGTGGGTCATCCTAACCCAGTTCGGCGTGGCAAGATGGGGTATCAATGCACCGTCTGTTCTATTCTCGTGCTGTGGGTGAGAAAGTGTGTCACTACTTGGACAACATACAACATTTTTCATAAAGAAATACGTCTGACGAGCTTCCGACATCAATAGCCAACAGTACATCGCAATAAACAAAGGGTGCCTTCGCGTGTAGGTAAACATATTGTCTAGTTCTTGTACAAGAATTTTTGGCTGCATCTGCCGGAATGAGTAAACATTTTCATAAAGAATACTTTTCATTCTGAAGGATACATATTAAACTAAACCCAATAAACAAACTACTAAAGATTTAAATTTGTAAAACTAAGAAAGACCCTTTCCGACAATATTATTAAATAATGTAACTCATGTTTTCAAAATTTAATTTAATTTCAATTCGATATTTCTTGCAAAATCAAATTCTTAAACGTTCTCAATGTAAAATATATATAGCTAGCATCCCGACACTAAGTATCGTTGATACGGCACCAGGCTTCAAACGCAAACGAGCTAAATTTCTCAATTGTTTTTCATAGACAGTCCAGGAAAAAATTACGGTTTTTCTGCTCACACGAACTCACCTAAAATGGTCTGTTGAGGAACCGAGTCTACATAAAGAACGTTATCGATCTTCCTTGACTTCTGCTTTGCAATCTTCACGATTACTTTGTAGGGCAGGTCAGAGAAGACAGAGAACAAGATTTTCTTATTTTTGGGAGAGATGTTGCCATCTGTCAGAGTTGAGATCCCAAAGCTGACATACACTACAGGCTCTTCTCCTGCGAGGAAGTTGGCCACTTCCTGCGAAGTGTTGCGTGATATTGATCATTAAAATAATCCCTCACTCTAAAGTTTTTAACCATTTGCATAGGTTGTAATAAATAAGTATTTAAAAGAATAGCTTTAGTACGTGTGAGGGTAGCAAAGTAAATTTACTGTCTCATCAGATGCTTCAGGTTCAAAGGTCTACATTCTACAAGAATGAACACTTTGAAGCAATGCATTTACGACTTATCTCTTTTTTACAATTCTTCACTTGTATTTCTGAATAAATTATATTTCTTGTAATAGAATTTCCACTGAATTTGTTGTCATCTTTCATTTCTAAACGATGCTAGAAACAATTGCTACCGAGTAAATAATCTCTCGGCATCAACTCACTTTTTATTCAACCGAAGAAATATATTTCTCGTATGTTTCTTATTAATCTTACTAACTCACCTCGGGTAATTCCGAGTGTGGGCGAAGCACAATGCCGCCTATGGGGATCTGGTTGGGCAGAAGCGGCATGGGACCGTCGAGCGCCAAGATAGTATTGATGAAGTGAACGCTCGCGTTGCGTTCTATTTCAGCCAAGGGGATTGAATCGGAGATGTGTGCCTCGACCTGAAATAAATTCCACTGCATGGCATTTAATCATACGAAAAAATGAATAATTAGCGAAATACTAATTATTGCATGAGATTTATCCAAGATATTTGCTATTATGGAGCTTTCATTTCATTTATCCTCATTTTATTGCATTTCAAACACCCCTTGTTCACTGGTACGTCCGAATGGAGCGGTCTGTATTAAAAGCTGAACGACGGTGCATTTTCTTGTGAATTTTGCCAGCGAAGACAACTTTGCGTTTAATGATTACTTTTCTATATTATTTTATTATTTCAAATCCCTCAAATAAAAAAAAAACAACCATTGACTTGAATCCCAATTTTTATTTATTCATATACAATATATGAAAGGTTAATATTTGCCTTACAATATCTCACCGTTTTACTGGCGCAATAAAGCCGTAAGCTGAAATGAAGGTACATCAGTGTATTCCAAATTATGTTTTTGAAGCGATTGAATAAGGAGTAGAAGTCAGGGAAGTTGAAGGACCATCCCTCCACCACGTAGGTTGGGTTCAGGACATTGCCGAGCTGGGCGCTCTGGTACTGGCTGAGCGAGATCGTGGAGTACAGCGCGTACGGCATCTCTTTGAGGAAAGGATGCAACACCTGAACAAACGAGACATTCAATGTTAGGATTGTAGAGAAAATTTTTGCTAGTATTTAAATAACTCTTTTAAAATGCTATTTGAATGTAAGATATAATTATAATTTATTATTTTGAATTCCCTGTGCCTATTGACTCTTCTCAAGACATTATTCAGGTTTTGATGTCGTGTTCAAGCACAATGACATTTTGATTTCTCAAACATTCAAAACGTAATCGAAATTATGCCTGAAAAAACTTTTAATGCATTTTTTCTTGGATAAAATTTGAGTCGTGGACGTCGGAAAACAACATGAAGCCAAATAAAAATAAATTAATTTATACATTTTCATTATAACGACACTTGTGTCATTTGATTAATCTCTCGGCCGTCGTCCCACAGATTACACTTGGATATTTGGGACAAATTCTCTTTTTCGGACATTGGATGATGATGCATCTCCAATTTTTAAACTATTTCAAGTGTGACTAAATGTTTTGAATTTGTGTCCCATACTTAATTCAGCGACCAATGTTTTGCAAGTGCGAGACACTTGATTGCATACAAACCACATTTTTTCAGTAAAAAGTATGAAAAGTATTACGTACAAAAGGTACGAATCTATCTGGTAATATTGCAGCCTGAAATTAAAAGTGATATACATGTCCAATTTGACTAACGAGCTTCCTGCGTAAACAAATCACCATTTTGAAAGGCGTCATATATGTACTCATAAACGCTAATGGGTTGAAGTGAAAAATTTTGTTGACGGTTTTGTCAGCATACTCACTATCATTGCGAAATCCTCAATTACGATCAAATCGAATTCTTTTCGCCTTCTGTAGAGTTCCTGCAGTGATTTCGAAGAGAACATCTGGTCTGCAATTTTGTCGAGCATGTTGAGCGCCTCCAAAGTTTCTGTGATGAAGTTACTTTCTTCACCATACTTCAGGGGCTTTAGTTCCTGCAGCTTAACGTTGTGGTAGATGCAAGTAACGTTGGGGAAATCGAAGATGTTTGGATCCTCGCACAACATGGAGACCTGCAGAGTAAAAGACTTCTTTGCATGAAAAGAATTTGCATGAATGGATGAAGTTCTGTGCGAAATATGCTAAACGCTAAAAGATTTTTTCCGCAATTTAGATTGCAAATATTATATATAATTTGTTTAAATATCACGCAAGTGTATCCTTTTTCCAGTCTTCCATTCCAAGATAAATCTCTTCTAAGGCACTGCATCTTCGATTCTCTGGGATCACAGAGATGTTTTTATTTGATGAAATTTTTATAATTATTTTGTCTGTTAAATAAATATATTAGAAAATAAAACTTGATCCCAAATTTTTGCAAATAAACTAAAACATAACCAACAAAATTTGTAGAGCTTCCCTAGTTAAAATTTGCACAACCAAGTAGAGGTTTTTAACGAGATATCCATAAAAAAGTAAAATTATGCATAAAATTCTTGTTAGAACACATGAATAAGAACATGAAAAACAAGAAAAACGACCATGATCATAATTTTTACAGCAGCTAGCTGCGAAAACGAAATTTTCGATCTTAATTCACTGGTTAGATTCGCAACCTCGTGTCCCCTGCGTGCCAGCGCCACTGCCAGGGGCGCCACCGCCCACGTGTGGCTGTGTTCCAGCGTCGGCAGGAGGAAGAGGAACTTGAAGTGCTGCTGGGGCGCCGGCAGGGAGCTGTTGTAGTAGAGGTCGTTGCGTCCGCCCACGCACGGTGACGCCGCCAGCAGGAGCAGCAGCGCCGCCGACTGGCCATCATGGTTAGGTTAGGTTAAGTTAGGTTAGATTAGGTAAGATTAGGTTGGGGGTTAGGTTAGGTCAGGTTAGGTTTGGCTTCATAGGTTAGGTTAGGTCAGGTCAAGTTAGGTTAGATCAGGTTGTTATGTTAGGGTTAGGTTAGGTTAGGTCAGGTTAGTTTAGGCTACGTTAGGTTAGGTAGGTTAGGTTAGGTCTTGTCAGGTTAGGTTAGATTAGGTTAGGTTAGGATAGGTTATGTTATGTTTTGTTATGTTAGGTTAGTTAAGGTTAGGACCAACATGGCAGGAAAGTTAAAATCAACCGTCATGTGAAACTAGCTTGTCTTTGAAGGCCGGGATGTAATTTATGGCTCAATTTAGCAATATTGATCTATGCAAGAACGGTACTACTCGTACGAATGTAATATTTCATGCAGATAAACACAAGAAACCCTACACACTGAATTTTACCTGGCAGTTGATGGAAACTTGTTTTTGTTTTATAAAATATAAAACATCCACCTGCATATGTCTGAAACAACAATCCAAAAAGCCCCGAGCCGAAGATGCGAGTCTTGTTTATAAGCTATTCCGCCAGAGCCAGTATTTCATATATTGTTTGGTTTGGAAAACCATAAGAATTTTCACGAAACGCACCTGCATTCTGTGGAGCTAGCCGGGGAGTGAGTGAACTTCGACTTGGAAACCTGGTGGATCAGTAGTAATTACATTAATCTACAGATACAATAAAATATATCGCGCATTTCAACATAAAGAATTATTAATGTAAAGTTTGGAGTTTGAATGTCTGGTAAACTTTGAGTACCAGTCAGTTCCATTAAAACGTTAAACCCACTTTTTACAGACGCATATAATGATTTTATTTAAAGTTTCACAAATAATTTAGTCTGATATATTAGCGTTGAATGTTATTCGTTGAAAACATCTGTGATAGCGAGCTCTCGAAGGCAGAGGAACGGTTTAGAGGCGTCTATAGGGCCCCAACTGCCCTCGACACTCCTTGGGAGGTTTTTTGCAAGCAGTTTGCAAATTACAAGTCAGGATACAGGAGAAAAAGCTTTAATTTCAGTAGGCGACTTCACTTTTGCAGTTGACGGTGATGGTTTATGTAGATGACGGTGATGGTTTATGTAGATGACGGTGATGGTTTATGTAGATGATGGTGATGGTTTATGTAAATGACGGCAATGGTTAATGCACCGAATTTGGCCAATAATTATTTAAATAAAGTACGTGTGCCCTAAATATGCGCAAATCATGAATGCTGAAAATTAAAAAAATTCAAGTGACAAAATTAAAAATTTATTAATAAAACGTTGTAGTAGAGGTCATTGCGCTACAAATTGCTCAGACGGATCTCGTGTATGTTTGTGTATGTTTTTATACTAAAAAAATTCATTTGTTGACATGGATAGAGGAATGGCGATATTACATGACTTAAATGTCACCGAATCACAGGATAATTTTAAATTCATTAAATACTTTGAATGCTGTATTAGCGGGATGATGTAGTAAGTAGTATCCTCGAAGCTGTACAAATTATACTACACTAAACAAGGCTCATAAGTCTTATACTAGACAACGGAAATATAGGTATAGCTAGACATTTTTCGAACAGATCCTCGCGTATTATATATTTATATGTAGGCTCATCAATGGATAAAAAAACCCTGATTTATTAAACAGCGAAGACAACTGCAATGGATTTTGAATTGCAGGCACATAAGTTACTTCTTGTGGTTACTCTGATAACTCAATCTACGGAAACAGAAAATGCATTTTTTCTCAATTACAAGAAAATATAAATACTTATTTGGCGTACTAATTAATTAAACATTCATCAGAAACGATTTTTCTTGTTTTTCTTTTGATGGTCTAGATCGCAGCACATGATGTAGAATAGAAACGACAGAAGCTCAATTCAAATCATAAAGTGAATCGGATTTTTTGCCGAAAGTTTCGCTGAACGTTTAGTTTAGTGCCAAACTGTGATACGCAATACAGCTTGGAAAAACCTCCCATGACACGTTTTCGAAAATATTCAGATTTGAATGTATTGTTTTAATATTGATGACTATTATTCAGCTTATGCAACATTTATTCAAAAGTATAACAATAACATAAAAGAGGCTCTGAAATGCACAGCACTGCAGTTGTATTCGGAAAATAAAGCAGTGGTTTTAGCTACACGCTTACTGTCTATGTGTCGGCGGCGAAGTCTCCTCCACTACTGACTGGTAGAAAGTATATCGGTGCAGTCGTGCTGCAGGATCTACCGAGCCACCATCGAAAAAAACTGGTATCTCGAACTGTGATAAAAAAATGCGTAACCAGACTGCAATGCAAGTTGATGCTTTAAGCTGGCGGGAAAACAACTAACCTGCTGCCGTTGTTTATCAATATATATGATTCTAATATGATAAATAATATACGGTACACATACAACAAATATGATTTTAGACCGTCAAAGCCTCGGTAACACTCAGATATTAAACGCAACTCCGGAAGTTCATGGTTTGAATAAAGGTACCACGTTGGTACTAATGCTTCCTGCATTGAAGATGTTCTAAATGGAATTTAAAATAATTTCGATAGTAGATATTATAATAAATATAAGCATTTGTCACGTTAGTTATTATTCACAATTGATTTTTTCTATATACCTTGATGAGTCGCGATGTGGGAGGTATCGGTTAAGGAGAAGAAGTAATACAAATCATGTGGAAATTTAAGGCGCCATAAGAAGGGATATTATTTTTTGGTGGCGGTGGGGTCGCTTAGTACTAGCTATTTATAATGTGGAATAGTATTAACATTATCCAATCACGAAAGATAATCAGAATCCCAATTAGTGAAGAAATTATAAGCCTTGATTGCTTAAATTGCAACTGAAAAAGTGAAGGCGAGGAACTGCCAAAATTCAATGATATTTTGATTTGAGGTACTATAATCTTTTCATCAGCCCATGCATGTAACCCACGGGCTCATAAATGATCAGCCTTGTAACATGTAGCATATGAATGCTTCACGTTGAGATGAGCGAAAGGAAAGGTAACAGGGAGACGGGGCAGTGTGGCCCAATTGCTACATTAATTACATTTTTTAGGGTTCCAGAGTAGAGAGTATACAGGTTGGATAAATGAAATGTGAGTTAGATCCCAGCTACCTGCTAGAGTTCTGGTCCTATAGCGGGAATAACGTTTATTGCAACACGAAAGATCTTACTAGTAAAACACCGGGATTGTCCGATAAATCATGAAAATGTTCATACTTTGTCTTTACAATTAAACCTAAAAATCGAACATTTCTGTTAGTCATTCGTATAAAAAAATATACGCATTGCATTCTAAAGTTCATGATTGCACATTTGGGTTTTCTTGAACGGATCTCGGGGAACTCGTAACTCGTCGTAATTTGATAAATAGGCAATAAAGTCATAAAATTCGATTCTTCCTCATCAAACTCACTCCCCAGGTTAGACGCGAGAACATTCACAGCTTGTTGCGGTCACGAACTCGCAACTCACTGCTACAATTCTGCTGTGCTTAACCGCCCGGCCTCCTCGCCGATTCTGACCAGAAACTGGGGCACAGAGCTGGGGTCGAACCCGCGCCTCTCTGCGCCAATCTTGGTACTCTGAACTTTGACCATTGGCTACAAAATTTCAACTCCTTATCAACATTAGTTTAGTGATCTTTTCCACTGTCTAATTTTGAATCATCACTTTCTTGTTGCAACTACATTTTCTCATACTAAAAGCTCGCTGTTTATTGTTACCGAGATGAAGTACTCTAAGCGCCCCCTACACTTGCGAGTCCGGCTAGCCGATCCATGACTGCAAGCACTCTACCAGCTTGGCCTGCGATCGTACTGCACAGCACTAGTGAATTGATACCCGAGCGTTGCCGAGCCGAGCCTCACAGCAAGCGATGGAAGCCATGGCTCGGCTCGCCTTTACTTTACGTAGCTCGCCTCATTAGGCGCCGTTCACTTGCCGATTTGGTAATTTGAAGGCGGGCCGAGTTAGACTGCTGAGTTTGACTCCATGGTTCATGAAGCTCTTAATTACTACTGCACTTGTCAGCATTAAAACGCCGTAAATTTTTGTCATCACCAGACATCGAGCACCACACGCTGAACAGCTTTTGGCTGATGGTTTAGAAATGCAACTAACAAAACAGGGCCACAGAACGAACGATTCTTTGTGACACGCCACTGCGCACTGATGCCCAGTCTGATCCGATCCAGTTAATACAGACCCGTTGTCGTCTACCCACTAGCAAATCTCTGATCCACTGAAATGATTTCTCTCCATTTGCTAAGAATTCATTCCACGCAACAGCGGGCCATGCGGAACACCATCAACCATGATTAGGGCATTTATGGCAACCTCGTAATAGTTAAAGACCAGGTTGTCATAATCGTACTAATTTTCATAATCCTAATCAACCAGGAAACTGTTTTTTTTTATTTTCACATCACGTGCGTGTTTTATACATTCAAATGTGAAGAGTTTGTATTAAAAGATATTTCGTGTTCTTGATTCCAAGCTATCGTTGTCACTATATTAGTTTTTACCCTTCAAAAATAATTCGCTGGCAAAATAGCCTACATCAGCCATTAAGTTGAGTCGTAACCTCTCACGTACTGGTATAAACACCAAAATACGCTTTTTCAGTTCATCAAGCTTCTGTCGAGTAGCTGACCCGAAAACAGTGGCTACAGGAGCGGGGAATTCCGACTACCAAGCGAGCGGTTTTTTCGTTAGGTACGGTGGATGTGGGTTTTTTCCCACAAGTATGGGATATCAGAAGTACTACCTCTACGGGAGCGGGTTTTTTCTTACTTATACAGGAGCGGGGATTTTCGACTACTACGGGAGCGGTTTTTTCTTTTGGTACGGTGGGTGTGTGTTTTTTAGCGCATTTTCTCATTTATGGGAAAAATGCGCTATTGTGCTCGCCATGTCCGTCTGTCTGTCTGTCCGTCCGTCCGTGACCTCAAGTTTCCGTCGACGAGAAAATGCACACTGTCACTCACTGCAGTGAGTACTGAGTTACATTTTTTGCACTAGCACGGGACTAGTACTGTGGGAGCAGTTTTCCTATTACTACGGGAGCGTAGGTTTCTAACGCTACGGGAGCGGATTTTTTCACTGGTAAGGGCTGTTTTCTTTGCTACAGCTTGAGCGGACTTTTGTAGCTAATACGGTAGTGGGTTTTTCGTGGGCTGTCCCCGCGGATTAACTGAACTTTTCAGCCTTTCATCTGTGATACTCCAATTTAGTTATGTGCAGCAGCTCCCTTGTTCATCCTCTCCTATGATAACCTCAGTTATTTCTGTTTAATACGACTCCGTGTTTTAATCCTATCCCTCGGGATCGATAGTTCAATCGTGTTTCAATCTCATCACTCGGTGGAAGATCGGTCTTCAAGCAGCGGCATCCTGCAAGTGACCTCTGAACAGCATTAGTAATGCTGCCTTTATGAATGTAACGATCGTTCTTATACACATAAAACGAAAACGGTTGTAACGATTTCTAGAACTTTACACTGCTATTAGATAGAATTTATTTCCTCGGCCTAAAGCTCTAATCCCATTTTACCACGAAACATTGGTTACCGCAAGTTTATTAATTTTTGTTTATTTTCCGGTAGCTAGCGCCATTTCACGCGCAGTAATGAGAGGAGCTAGCCGTGGGTTTGAGCCTTGTGAATATAAAATTGATCGCCGTCAAAAGTGGTGCCTTAGGCTGGTGTTCCTAAACAAACTCTGGGCACTTGTTCCCTGGGGGAATCTAAGGTCCTTAAAAAATAACATGTTATACAAGTACCACAGCTGTGGCGGTGCAGTGGTGAGAGACTCTGTCTCTCGCACCCAGCGCCCGGGTTCGAGTCCCACTGAGGACAAGTTCTGCCGGGAAGCTCAGCTCATGGTCAACTCAGCCATTCATCCAACTCTGGTTGATAAATGAGTACCTGGCTTGTCCAGGGTGTTGTGTAATGCAATTAAATGGTTCTGGCTGGTCAGCGAGCCAGTGATGGTCGTAGAACTACCAGTGGTACCGAGTGCCCGGAAAAAACTGACCATCCTGGTAGTCGCCACTACCAGGATGGGAAGAATTGGACCTGGCGGCAGGTTAACTTGGTGGTAGCCATGACGGCAGGTTAACTTGGTGGTAGCCATGACGGCAGGTTAACTTGATGGAAGACCTGACGACAGGTTAACTTGGTGGAGGACCTGACGACAGGTTAACTTGGTGGTGGACCTGACGGCAGGTTAACTTGGTGGTGGACCTGGCGACAGGTTAACTTGGTGGTGGACCTGACGACAGGTTAACTTGGTGGTGGACCTGACGGCAGGTTAACTTGGTGGTGGTGGACCTGACGGCAGGTTAACTTGGTGGTGGACCTGACGGCAGGTCCTTGAAGGCGGCATTAAGGGCAGCCAAGTCCCTGCAAAACAAAAGAGAGTTAAACGAAGCAGAACCGCGACGCACATGGCGGCGTGGATGTCGGGGGCGGGGGGAAGAAATGGGGAAACATGGTTGTGGTGAGGCAGATAGACCCTAAGGACGACACTCGCCTGTTATTGAGAGCTGGCAGCAGGCGGGTGAGGTCTAGAGGCGGCAGGCAGACCCTGAGGATAGACCAGAGGTTGTCGGACACGGCAGTACGGGAGAACTTCTCCTCCAGACCCCGACCCGCGGCCTGCAGGTTCAGCGCCGACAGAAAATGTTCAGCGGCTTCCCTGCACAACGATATCATTGATATAATCTCAATCATTTTAATATCATCCCTCTCCCATGGCCTCATTAGTCGCCAATATAATTTTAATATCATCCCTCTCCCATGGCCTCAGCAGTCCCCAATATAATTTTAATATCATCCCTCTCCCATGGCCTCATTAGTCCCTAATATAATTTTAATATCATCCCTCTCCCATGGCCTCAGCAGTCCCCAATATAATTTTAATATCATCCCTCTCCCATGGCCTCAGCAGTCCCCAATATAATGTTAATATCATAACTTTCACATTGTCTCAGCGTCTCGGGCAATACATTAATGTCAAAAGTTGGGACAAAATAATATTACTTGTGAGCGATGAGAGGGACTAATATTTATTGCTCAATTGATATTGTCATTCATTCTTATGTGAATTTTTTACGTAGCGCGAGGTTTGGGTCTATACTTTCAAAAAAAGTTAAGAGATCGTAAGTTCATCAGCCAATCATTGGCGGCCTTTCAAGCAAAATCCAGCAATCATAGATAAGAAAATAGAGCGTAAGCACTTACGTTTTGATTTGAAAGTATGGCCGCAGGTCTGTGTGGCTCTATGTTGAGAAGTCAGTCATGTCACGCCAGCCCTACAGTGAGGTGCTAGCCTGAACTCACCTCGCTCCGTTGCTCCACTAGAGATCTTGTGCCCCTAGCGCTAGTTCTTGTGGCTGTGCTATAAACGCTCCATCAAACTGTTTAACGATTCTCGTGCTGGTTTTGCTATATTTTAAACGTATCCCTTTCAAGTGCTCTTTGCTGAAATAAAACTACGTTTAATCTGTGTAACCGAAGTTTTAATGGAAGACATCCCAGTGCAATAAAGTGCAATTGAACTTATTACAAGATAGTTGCCGCCGTTTGGCCGTGGAACTGTGAACATTCTTATGAAGGAGTTGTAAGAGGTTTATCCCTTGTGCCTGTGGCACTTGAGGTTGATGCAGGCGATGCCCAGGCTGTATCTGCACCTGATGCAGGCACTTGCCTGTGGCACTTGAGGTTGATGCAGGCGATGCCCAGGTTGTATCTGCACCTGATGCAGGCACTTGCCTGTGGCACTTGAGGTTGATGCAGGCGATGCCCAGGTTGTATCTGCACCTGATGAAGCCAGGCGACAGCTGAAGGGCGCGCTGGTAGGCTGGGACCGCCTCAGCTGAGCGGTTGCTGTTCGCTAGCGTCGCGCCCAACTTGTTCCACAGGCGAGAGTCCTGAGCGGGTAAAAAGCTTTTATATTTATAATTTAATTGAGATTTAATTAATTTAAAGATTTTAAATGTATAATTTAATTGAGATTTAATTAGTTTAACAGCTTTCACACGTATTATGAAAGAAATAAATTGGGCGCTAGCGCCGCGCCCAATTTGTTCCACAGGCGAGAATCCTGAGCGGGTAAAAATGTTGTAAATTTTATAGTTTAATTAAGATTTAATTAATTTAACAGCTATCACAGATATTATGAAAGAAATAAATTCTCAATGACTCTTTGTTATGTAATAAAATTTAAACACAAACGGAAGTTTACAAGGAGAAGTTAAGGAACAATAAATTTAAGGTCGCTCTAAATTGACTTGAAGGAAGATGAATCTATCGTATACACTGACAAAATATATTAAACATTTCCAATGTTTCATTCGTTTGTTCTAAGCCTGACGCTACAAATA